TCTGTTTATGCCGGTTCATATGCCTTTCTACACAACCGTGTCAACCCCCGTAAATCTTAGACGGCGATGAGGTTCTCACCTAGAAGGTCCTGACGCTTGAAGTGGGCGCGGCAGCGCGGACAGGTTGCATCCCCATCGGTATGGTTCTTTTGATGACGATGGAGGTGCTCAGACCGTGAGAAAGATTTACCGCAACCGTCATAGGTGCAAGTGAACGATCGCCTGGTGCTACCGGCACCCTCCCGAGTTCTATTACGCTTAGCTCGCTGCATACTGCCCAGCCTCGTAATAACCTAGCAAACTCAACTAGTTGGCATTCACCACTTTCAAAGAGTCTTGTCATGTGGATCGTCTCGGAAGACGAAGAACCCCCATTCTTATCCTCCCAATGGATTTCAGAGGAGGGAGGAGGGAGGAGGGAGGAGAGACGGAAAGAAAAGAGGGGAGAGGAGTGTGTATGCTTCAATAGCACTAGTATTAATTCTTCACGGATTGAGGCTCTCGCTGACGTAGGGGTAGAGTGAACACACAATGTTTCCGCCAAGAGCTGTGCAATCATCAAATTTACACTTCAGCTATGTATGTCCTTACGATGATGATGATGATGGTGGTCGTGGTAAGCAAGCTGAATGTACCCCCTTGTTCGAATCAATACCGACAACAACTGCCTCATTCTCGACGTACCTACATATTCCCCCACCTTTGCTATCTCCTAAAAGTGATGTGTTACTACCAAGAGTGGGGTTGCCATAAGCAGAACCATTCTACGGTGTTGGCTGGAGATAAGCCAACGGATGTTCCGTATGCAACTCTACGTACGAACCTTACTAACCTTAGGTAGGTATTTCGGGAATATCTAAGGTGCATATGGTTACCTGATAGAGATATTTAAAGGAAGAATGCCTAAGTCCGAGGAGTATAAGCTCGCTTTACCTAATTTATTATACCTATAGGCATCCTTCCCAGATACGTAACCGAGGTATGTTACCACCATGTATGTGCCTACAAATGCAATAGCGTACCTGTGCATATATGATAACAACGACTTTCCGGGAAGATGTAGACATTGCATTGTAACCCCGGACCACCGAAGAAGTGACAAATGGATACACCCCGAGGGCAAAACGTCATGATCCCTCTATATACATACCGGTCACGTCTTACACGACCGTTGTGGAACTTCTTCATTTTTATCTATGATAAGTAGTTGTACGAAAAGGTTATTATACCGCTACTTATTAACTTACTATTCTTCCTTTAAACTTGAGGTAATACGGCCAAATCTACCGCCCTAGTGATATCGGATTCGAAAATGGCTCCCAGACTTCGCCCAAAGGTATGGCAGAAAGTTAAGAGAGACGCGTCGAGCCAACTTCATGTAAGTGGATCACGAACTTATACACCCGTTCAATTTATTGAGCTTTCACAACAGGTTATAATCGTAGGTGCCGGGCTCGGCGGACTTGGCGCAGCTATTTCTATACTTCTAGCAGGACATCTCGTGACCGTACTTGAAAGCGCGTCTGAGATTGGCGAAATAGGCGCTGGTATTCAGGTCTTGCCTAATTCATCGAGAATATTGATTTCTTGGGGACTCGAAGACCAGCTTGTTAAACATGCGACAAAACCTCGGTACGCAAATATGATCGGCTGGAAGGGTAATAAATTATCAAGAATGGATCTCCATGCTTATGGGAAGGCTCTGGGCACCCCTTTCTGGGATTTCCATAGAGCTAACTTACACCGTTGTCTCCTCGACCGAGCCGTCGAGCTCGGAGCCGAGGTTCGTGTGAGATCGAGAGTCCAGACGATCGAATATGCTGCGGATGGATTAACGGCAAGCGTCGTGTTAAGTGACGGTAGGGTAATGTCCGCAGATCTCATCGTCGGGGCAGATGGCATCTCGTCACGGCTACGCGAGGTTCTCCTCGGCAAGCCAGATCCCCCTTTACCAACAGGCGATCTTGCCTACAGGCTCCTCATAAATGCCAAGGATATGCTAGCAGATCCTGAGTTACGAGACTTTATCCAAAATCCTCAAGTCAACTATTGGATAGGGCCCGACGCGCACGCAGTAAACTATGTTCTCAGGGGCGGGGAGTTGTTCAACATGGTCCTATTAGTCCCGGACGATATGCCTGCAGCTGCCATGACTGTGGATGGGAACGTGGAAGAGATGCAAGCGTTATATAAAGACTGGGACCCTGTAATAGGCAAAATCTTAAGTCTGTGTCAATCTGTTCAGAAGTGGAAGCTCTGCATAAGACCTACTTTAGAACAATGGACACACGAATCAGGGACATTTACACTGTTAGGGGATGCTGTCCACGCAACACTACCGTACCTTGCCAGTGAGTCGCGCCTTTCAACATATCCTTTACTATAAATTACTCGGGCCTAAATGTATTATAAATGTACATTAACTCACCAACTAACGATCTACTAGGTGGTTGCGGTATGGCATTAGAAGATGGCGCGGCGTTGGGTCTCTGCCTTGCAAAGCTAACTAACAAGTCTCGCGAGCAAAAGTTATACGCACTTAAAGTGTACGAAGAGTGCCGAAAAGAGAGGACCGAGAGGGTAGTTGAAAGGGGCAATTTCCAGCAGTACATGTACCATCTCCACGACGGCCAAGAGCAAAGGGAAAGGGACAGAAGACTCAAAATGTTTGGGAAGATTGATGAAGAGTTATTCAAAAATCCAGAGGTTATCACACAACCACGATCAGAATCGGGGGATGATCCATTACCTTGGAGGTATTATGGCGTAGGAGGCTGGCTTTTACCGTATGACATAGAGACAGCCGTGGAGCGTAAATGGGATCAGACGCCAAGGGAAAACCAGGCGCGCCCGCTACTATAGTGTACTTGGTATTATCATCATCATAAGTCAAGCCTCTTAAATTATTCATCTTATTTTTTTGTTTCTCCTATTCATCTCCCTCATCCCACCTAAACCCTCAAAGTCAATCTTAAGGGGTATTTTTTGTGGAGATTTTATCTCTATAAGACAAGTGTGAAATCTAAGATGGGGGTGATAACATAGTGGCACGCCTTCTCGTCCCTTTAAACTCTATTAGAGTGCAAGAAAACATAAAATCTCTATCACCTAGTTATGCTCTATATCTAAATCAAGATTTCCCAACATTCAGAGTGCGTAGGTCGCCAGCTACCTAAATGTCCAAATATCAAGCCGTCCCGGCCGCGTAGATGGGGTAATCCGTGTATCCCTTCTCCGGGGGCACCGTAAAGTAGAAGGTCGAACGGTCATATTTCGTTAGTGGTATCCCATCCGCAAGCTTTTGCGGCAAATCGGGATTCCCTATGAACCATCTTCCGAAACAAACGACATCGGTCGCCCCGGACTCCAGCTTCGGCACGGAGTTTTCCCAGTTGAAGCACCCTGCGCTGAAAAATACGATACCACCCCGTTGAAGGATGTTTCTGAATGGTAACAGCGAAACAGTGGGTTCTTTATCACCTTGAGTAAGAGATTCAACCTTTTTCTGCTCGTCTAGAACCTCATCGAACCGCGCCTCGACCCTACGGATAAACGTCAGCGAGCCGCTCGGGATATAATGGCGTTACCCATTTTCTCTTACATATGAACGTAAACAGGCCTTTGACTCGCAGGCAGATTTACGATTTGCTCGCAAAGATAAGACCAGTGTTCTAATCTGTTGCTGTCCCTGGTAGATTGAAAGTAATTCCAAGGGCTCAGCCGTATTCCCACCTTGTCAGAACCTATGGCGTCGCAAACAGCCTTCAAGACGTCCAGTGGGAATTTGCATCGCTTCTCAATAGATCCACCATATTCGTCGGTCCTATCGTTGATATTGTCGTGAAGAAATTGTTCCAACAGATAACCGTTGGCGCCTATGGTCCACGATGACTCGGTTAACCAAATATCAACGACTATCAGGAATTTCCTCTCCCTTTCACATACCATGGATTTCCACGCCGTCGAAGCCTGCTTCTACAGCTCGCTTTGCGGCCCCTGCGAAATCTTGAACAATAGTCTGAATCTCATCTGCCGTCAGGGGCTTTGGGGGACTAGAAGCGCAGGACGTCCCTTCTAACCAAGAACCCTCCATGGGGTGACTGCTGGAGCTTACTGGCGCCCTCCCACCAAGAAATGAAGGGGGTGAGGCCCGGCCTGTGTGCCAGATCTGCAAGAAAATGTATCCTCCCTTAGCGTGGACAGCATTTGTGACTTTCTTCCAGCCCTCAATCTGAGAAGGAGTAAAGATGCCGGGGATGCCTGGGTATCCTCCAGCGTAGTGGGAGATATCGGTAGCCTCAGAAATCAGCAGACCACCCTTTGTAGCGCGCTGCCCGTAGTATTCCGCCATTAGATCACCGGGAACGTATATACCATCGCTTTCCTTGATCCCTCGCATGCGAGTACATGGTGCCAGGGCGATACGATGTTGAAGCTCATAATTCCCCAACTTAATAGGGGTGAACAGTTTCGTATCCTTCAGCGGCGCATATTTTTGAGACATTGCAGTATTCTTATATATTGGAATTTAATGGTAGTTAGCGGTTCTCGGGAGATGTGCGTTTTGAAGGAGCTCGTCAAATGTGATTTTCCGAGAACTTTCACTCAGTCAGAGAAGGAGAAATATGAGAATCTACGGAGGTTGGCTATTGCATGATATTGTTCATAGCTACCCTTTAGAGTGCAAATTAACTATCTACACTAACGGCCCAAGCCAGCACAATGCACCATTCAACTCTTGGTCGTAAGTGGGGATGGCTTCACGGGAGCTTGATGTTGGGCAACAGTGGGGTTGGCAATACTCGAAGTATGATCCTTGGTGGGGTGAATTGGTACATTTATATTATGTACATGTACGACTAGGGAGTCAGGGGTGGGCGTCACACATACGGACGGGTATACGACACACATATACCTATACGTAAAGAAGAAGGTATAGGCATATAAAATACATGCAAGTATGTAAGTAGGCAACCTATGTGCCCAACGTGTTGGTAGATCGTACGGTGGTGCATTTATAACAACATTGAATCATTCATGTCTATAGGGCGATGAATTATGCTTACTTTTGCCCCTCGAGCACACCAGAGCTCACTATCCAGGATCTTATGCCCGAAACTTATGCCCGATCAGAGTGGGGGATGGCAATGAATGACATAACAAACCTACCTAAGCTATGTTACTTCCATCTTGTACGATAGCCCAACAACGCCAGAAATATGCTGATAGCTATTAGCCATGTCTATACATAGCTACTCCGAATTAGATGAATAGGTATCCAAGGTAGCCAGGACAAAAGGATAAACTTGAATATTCATATTATCACCATCTACCACTACTCTCGCCCTCTATTAGCTCTTATGAAACCATGGCAGCAGCTGATATACTCCCGAAGCCGCCTATACCCGAGCTGCCATCCGTGCAACAGGATATTCGCGCCCCAACTGCTGCCGAAGCTCTCACGTCTCTGATACAGTCAACGTATACTACCTCCGAGTTATGCTTTTTCGTCAACGGCCGTCGAGTTACGGTTCAGAATCCTAACCCAGATTGGGTTCTCCTCGACTGGATTCGAGCCCAGGACAACTTAAAAGGAACCAAGCTCGGATGTGGCGAAGGTGGATGTGGTGCCTGTACTGTTGTCCTCCAGACCGTCGAAGAAGGCAGGCGGTTAAGGCATAGTGCTGTGAACGCTTGCCTTTTCCCCTTGGTTGGCGTCGATGGGAAAAGTCTAATTACTATTGAGGGCTTGGGCACCGTTGATCGCCCTCATCCTTTACAAGAGAGGGTAGCAAAGATGCAGTAAGTTATTGGCAATCGTATAGCTTTACCTTACAACACCACTGTTCTAATACTAGAGCTGCCGCTAGTGGTTCTCAGTGCGGATTTTGTACCCCTGGAATAGTAATGAGTCTGTATGCGCTCGTTAGAAATTCTTATCGGGATGGAAAGTTTCGGCTTTCAGCTTCTGACGTTGAGCTGCAAGGCCATTTAGATGGAAACCTTTGTAGATGCGTACGTATCCGCTTCTATACTCGTGCTTAAATATTGTGCTTAACTTATTCAGACAGGTTACAAACCAATTCTTGAGGCTGCTAAGACGTTTATTCTAGAGGATTTGAAAGGCGAATTGATCGAAGAAAACAAACCCTCCTCCTTAAGTACTCCCGAGGATGAAGACGGACTTCTGCAAATGCCAGCAAATGGAAGTGGGTGCGGTTCCTCGTCCAGCGGCTCTTGCGGGCGTCCGGGGGGATGCTGCCGGGACCCATCAACGTCTTCATCTGGGGGCAGTGCCGACAGAGCATCCTCTCAGGAATCTGCTAATACACGAGCAACCTCCGTAGATTCAGGTAAACATACGGCATCGTCTTTCTCGTTTATACCATACAATCCCGCAGCAGAAATCATATTCCCTCCAGCTCTCTGGAGATATGAAGAGCGGCCTATCTGTTATGGAGATGGGAGAAAGATCTGGTTCAAACCTACAACTCTAGAGCAACTGATGGAACTAAAAGATGCTTGGCCTTCTGCCAAAATCGTGGGAGGCGCTAGCGAGACACAGGTAAGGTCATATATATGTTCACGTCCCACTGTTCCAGGTTAGACGTTTCTTACCCGGAAATAGATCGAGGTTCGATTCAAGAAGTCCGAATATCGGGTATGCGTCTATGCGTCGGACATCAAAGAGCTTAACAGCTTCAAAGGGCCTAGTAGTGATGCCGAGCTCAAAACCCTTTCGGAAGTATCGATCCCAGGTAATATGCCGCTAACCAAGGTAGAAGACCTATGTGCCACATTATTCACAAAACTCGGTGCCAGAGCAAGCGCACTCGAGGCGCTTAGAAAGCAGCTTAGATACTTCGCAGGCCGTCAAATTCGGAACGTTGCCAGCCTGGCTGGGAATTTAGCGACTGCAAGTCCCATTTCTGATGCTGCCCCAGCACTACTAGCAGCAGGATCTGTAATCACTATAAGATCTAAGGGGAGGAACCCCTATGACATACCACTTTCGGCGTTCTTCATTAAGTATCGGACAACTCAGTTGCCTCCCAACGGTATAATCACACACATCAAAATACCACTACCGTCACCAGAGGCGCTGGAGGTAACGAAGGCATATAAACAAGCGAAGAGGAAAGACGACGACATCGCGATTGTGACTGCCGGTTTTCGAGTATGCGTAAGTCAGAAAGGACTCGTCGAACAGGCGACATTCGCGTATGGCGGCATGGCACCAATTACCACACTGGCGGCTACGGCCCAGAAGGCTGTGATAGGAAAGCAATGGACAGATAGTATCACACGTGAAGATGCTCTTCAGGCTCTTTTACAGGACTTTGATTTATCATTTGGCGTACCAGGTGGAATGGCTCAGTATAGGAAGGGTAAGTCTCGGAAACTTAGTTCCATAGCCCCTATTTGCTAACAACTCCAACAGTTCTCACCTTGTCACTATTTTTCCGTTTTTGGCAGGAGAGTATCGCAGAATTAGGCCTTGCTGAAATCGAAAGTGATGCTATTCAAGAGATACACCGGGGGGTATCTTCTGGGACTCGCGACCACGTTGCTACTTCAGGCACCAATGTGGTGGGTAAAGAAATACCGCATCTTTCGGCCTTGAAGCACTGCACCGGCGAGGCAGAGTATATCGACGACATGCCCCGGCAAAACAATGAGTTGCACTGCGCTCTCGTCTTATCAACAAAGGCACATGCAAAGATACTCGCCGTCGACTGGAGCCCTGCGCTTGAAATGCCAGGAGTTGTAGGTTACCTTGACAAGGACAGTGTATCGAGAGCAAATAATACATGGGGTCCGATCCGAGCAGACGAGCCTCTATTTGCAGTAGACGAAGTTCATTCGCACGGCCAGACAATAGGTTTAGTCTACGCCGAGACAGCGTTACAAGCTCAAGCTGCCGCCGCCAAAGTCAAGGTAACGTACGAAGTGTTGCCGGCGATAATCACTATTAGCCAAGCCATCAAAGCCCAGAGTTATTTTGAGCATGGAAAGCAGTTGAAAAAGGGGGCAGCTATCCAGGGGCCTCTTGACGACGAATTCGCCAAATGCGAGCACGTCTTCGAAGGGTTGACGAAGCTAGGCGGCCAAGAGCATTTCTACCTAGAAACTATTTCCGCATTAGCGATTCCGCATGCCGAGGATGGTTCCATGGAAGTCTACGCCTCTACTCAGAACCTAGCAGAGAACCAGATCTTCGTCTCTCAGGTACTTGGCGTACCGATGAGTCGCGTAAATATGAGGGTCCGACGTCTTGGGGGTGCTTATGGTGGAAAGGAGTCGAGAGTCACGCCAGCAGCATGCCTTGTTGCTCTTGCTGCTAAAAAGGAGCGGCGCCCGATGAGGATAATGCTAAACCGCGACGAAGATATGTCAACTAGTGGCCAGAGAAATCCAATGCAATGTAAGTGGAAAATTGGCACGGATGCGAACGGAATAATACAGTGCTTCGATGCGGATATCTATTGCAACGCCGGGTATTCTCTAGACATGTCTGGCGCCGTCATGGATCGGGCCTGTACTCACATTGATAATTGCTACAATATACCACACGCCTGGATACGCGGGTGGGTGTGCAAGACAAATACAGTAACGAATACTGCGTTCCGAGGCTTTGGCGGACCGCAAGCGATGTACTTGGCCGAGTCATACATGAGTGTCATTGCTGAGCGGCTCAATATGGATATCGATGAGCTTCGGCTCAAAAATCTGTATAAGCAGGGTGATTTAACCCCCTTTTTACAACCCATCGATGTCGACTTTCACATCCCAACCATGCTGGAACAGCTCAGTGCCAATGCAGATTATGAGAATAGGAAGAAGGAAGTCCGATTATTCAACTCCGGGAACCGCTATAGGAAGAGAGGGATATGCATGATACCTACCAAATTCGGACTCAGGTAAGCCAAGTTATAGTTGTTTCCGTAATAAAATGAGCTAATATTATATCATAGCTTTGCCACTGCTTTACATCTAAACCAAGCTGGCGCATATGTAAGAATCTACGAAGATGGCTCGATCCTCCTTCACCACGGAGGCACCGAGATGGGACAGGGTCTATATACAAAGATGTGCCAGGTTGCAGCTGAAGAACTTGGCGTGAGCGTGGACCAAATATTTAATAAAGATTCTCAGACTGACCAAGTCGCCAACCCATCCCCTACCGCTGCGTCGTCCGGTAGTGATCTTAACGGTATGGCTGTTAAGAACGCTTGCGATCAGCTTAATGAACGCCTAGCGCCCTACAGGGAACAATTCGGACGGGATGCTCCAATGTCAAAGATCGCCCATGCCGCATACCGAGACCGAGTTAACCTTGCGGCCAACGGATTTTGGAAGATGCCCAAGATAGGGTATAAATGGGGAAATTATAAAGACCCCCTTCCGATGTACTACTATTTTACTCAGGGTGTAGCGATCACGGAGGCCGAATTAGATCTTCTTACAGGCGATCATACCGTTCTAAGGACGGACATAATGATGGTGAGTACCTAATCTATAGGAACGAGACTGTAAATTCTGTCTAATAGTAAACTAGGATGTCGGTCGTTCTATCAACCCTTCGATCGACTATGGGCAAATCGAAGGGGCCTTCGTTCAAGGACAGGGCCTATTCACCATGGAGGAATCGCTGTGGACGCGAGAAGGTGAGATATTCACGAAGGGACCTGGGACTTATAAGATACCAGGTAAATATCAACGAGTTTCCCCCCTGGAGGAGTTAGGTATTGACATAAGGATAAGGTTTCTCAGATATCCCTCAAATCTTCAACGTGTCCATGTTGAGGCACGACTCGGAAGGAAATGCCATAAGCTGGAAGCATCTGCGCTCCATTCAAAGTAGCAAGGGTATCGGGGAACCGCCGCTTTTCTTAGGTTCGACGGTATTCTTTGCCCTTAGGGAAGCAGTCAAAGCTGCGAGAGAGATGAACGGCGTGACGGAACCATTGGTTCTTGACGCCCCAGCAACGGCGGAAAAGCTGCGCCTAGCTGTCAGCGATGAATTTGTCAAGCGCGCTGCTGTTGTCCCAAAAGAAGGAGAGACGAACTTCTTCGTTCGTATCGAGGATTAGACAATACCAAGCACGCGATGGGTTGCAGGATTCACAGTGTCATCAAGAATGTATATTTTCATATAATATATTACACGAAGGTTATGGATTGTATTACTAGGTGCCGTTCATCATACAACAAGACATGGCGGTACGATATAATAGGGACAACAAATTGATAGCTTTGAGTTCCAAGAATTTACCGCACATTATTCGTGATTAGCATATAGCGCTCCCCGACTAAGATTAGGGCTTGGTATCATACTTCATTACTCCTGGGTTGATGAGAGGATAGCCTTTCGAAGGAATCCGGCGAAACTCTCGAAAACCGCGTGATTATCCCCCTGAAGCCAGCGGGTCACGATCGCCACCTGATCCCTACCGTTCACATTCCCTGAAGCCTGTACTGTTAATAAGAAACCAAACGTGCTGTGTGTCGTGTCCTGCTCCACCGTTTGCTTGGGCTTCTTTTGGCGGGGCGGTGAAAACTCATCTTCAGCGATATCTCCCCTTTCTCTCGCCTTTTTCCTGCGATAAGCTCGACTCCAAACATTGCCATTAGAGAAACCTACTCCCTTCATCAGCTGCTTGCTCCAGCTCCATGAATGCAGGTCAAGACCCTCTATCGTATCACAAACAACCCGCTCAAGCCGTTCTGGTTTGACTTGCGAACTAGATCTCATAACAATTATCATCTCTGTAGGTTCTGGCAAGATTTTCTTCCCCGCCGAGGGCTCACAGCCCCTACTAGCCGACAGACTCGGCCTCCTATTGTCAAAACTCCACCCAATAGCCCACCTGCGTGTCTTATTCCCCTGAACAAAAGTCGTAACAGCATAATTAGTCACGCCATGCCCTTTAAGGATTCTTACAAGCACTTCCAGGCTTGACTGTTTGCCAAGCATGCACGTGTACCATTGCACCCTCTCTCGCAAGACCAAGGATTCGTCGATCATCCGCTGGATAAAACCGATCTCGCCCCCGGCGCACACCATCTCGACTGGCGCACCTGTACAAGCGCTATTTGGGGGCCGGGATTTCTGCTTAGACAGGTCTGTGAGTTCGGCCTCGGATGTGTAGAAGGGAGGGTTGACCATGGTGAAGTCAATGCTTTCCAGGCCTAGTTCATCCAGGGGGATAAGACAGTCCGCAATGGTGCGACCGACTACACGGACCCTGGATTGTAGGTTGTTTAGCTCAACGTTTTTACGCGCGTAAGATAATGACTTCGCATCAACGTCGGTGGCGACGAACGACCACGACGGTCGTTGAGCACAGCCTAGAAGCGGGTAGATGAGACTGGCGCCGGTGCCAATGTCTAATCCAGTCACCTGTCGGGCCGGTTCGCTAGAGTCTAAGTACGGAGTTGAGGATGAGTCAAGAAGATCTTTTAGCCAAAGTATATAGTTATGTCGATTAGGTACCGGAGGACAAAGTCGGTCCGTGGGTAAATCGACTGTCAAACCGAAGTCCCGCTTAAGGAGAGTCTTGGTCAGTTGCATGACTGACTTAGGATTATTAAAGTCAAGATGCGAACCGCGCTCCAACACAGCTTCGAATTCCGGGTCATACTGTCCGAGCAAACGAAAGTCCAGCTCTTCCGTATAAAGCGCTTTGTAGTAATAGTCATTCCTCGGCTCTCTGGGCACTGCTAGCCCCGAAAGACGGTTATTATTGTTATTGGTAATGGAGCATTCAATCGCTGTGGACGAAGAAACCTCCCGGTCCATGAGAGTAGACGATTTATTGAAACCTTTTCCGAGTTCAAGTCCATCTTCATTAGTCAATTTGCGTTTTGTCCCACGTTTGGGGCCATTGTCCTGGTCCGACATATCCATCTTCTCCGTGCCTTAAAAAGCCGGTGCATGCTGATACTGATGCTTGGCTTTATACTGCGAACAGAAATTACAATTATATGGCTACCGTATAAGATTCATCGCCTCGTATGCATCTGGCGAATGGGCATCGAGACGCAGATACGCGATGTCGTTGCTGGGCGAGGCTGGGGAATGAATCGATTCGATTATAATAAAGGCAAAATTCCATCATGGCAATTAGATATTAATTAATTAGATAGAGGGCACGTGATACCTACCTCTTACCCCTTATCGGGCTATCTACATAGCCTACAGCTGCCGATGTATTATTTCAAGGCCGTCACTGGATATAACGGCCGAATATTTCATACAAAAGTCGCAGTGGGGACTTGAAATGATCAAAAGTCATTGGGAAAATCCTGAACACCATCATCTAACAATTTTAGAGTATTGACGCTCAAATATCTGAGGGGAAAGGTTAGCATGTCAAGTACGATTCCATTAAGCTATGGGTGAACCATAATAGAATTAACTAGCAATCGCAAATCAAGTGCCTTACAACAACAATAATAATAATAGTACAAGTTTGCTTGAAGCTACAAGCCGCCCTTGACTGTAGCTACCTGGCGTCATTACCTAGGGCAACATGTTTCTGCAATACGCATAAAAAACCACTTATCCTCCCTTAATTTTTTTTTTCTTCAGCTGCTTCCTCAACCTTCTCTCGTGGCTTTTGCATGTACAACAATCAGTAACCATGGTAAAATATCTGCCCGAGCCACGAGGGAAAAGAAAACCACAGGTAAATCTGCAAACATAAAGCGCCGTCCAAAGATTCCACCATGTTAAAAGGAGCTGCGCCTCCTTATCAATACCGCGGTATTCGGCGATACCATAGCCATTCGACTCGTCCGGACATCGGCGTATTGCGAGGGCTGAAATGATTTCGCTCGAGCAGCATGAAACCTCACGAATAACTTCAAAAACAAAGCCCCTGAAGGGCGGTCCGAGAACACCAACCAACGCCAATCCATGTTTCCCTTATTAACACAGCCTCGTAGGAAGATACGCCGGGCTATCATGAAACGGCACTTGGATAATGCGTAAGTGCAAGTAGTACAAGGTATAAAGGGCGTGGGGATTGATGCTCGGGTCTTCACACACCTCCGCCCATGAAGGCAGCGAGATCGTCTAACTCTAGCAGCTGGCGCTCGAACGCTAAGCAAAGTTCGGCCGCGGTCATATCGTTACCAGCAGCCGGCGCGGATTCGGCCGGCTGTCCAGACGGGGAACGTGCTGGAGAGTCTGCCTTCGACTGGCCCGGAGGGGGGCTCGCGGTAGCCGGCGGTGACACACCAACCGACCCTCCGTTGATGGTGGTGAATCCGGACTTTCGTGGTGGCTCGCTGCCTCGATTATCCGTCTGCTCTTGAGCGTTCGCCGACTGCGGACGCTCGTAATCCATGCTATCCGGGTCCGGTTGACTTGCTGTGTCCTCTTTCATCAAAGGCACAATAGTCTCGGGCTGTGTTCTCTGAAGTGTCCTGTCACCATTCCGCAAGACCTTATTCATAACAGATAGGTGACGATACCAGGGAACAGCCAATATCCAAATATTAGCTCCATCTTGAAGAAAGCGCATGCCATCACGAACAATCGATTCGGCCGTTTCGTTCAAATCGCCGGGTGTCAATCCTTTCAGGCTAAACCAAGCCACAGTAGAACAAGCTGTGAAGCACGAAAACAGCATGACTAAAGGGAAGTTGAGGACAGCATCTTTGTCCGCGTTAGATTCCAAGGCTAGTAGGAGCGATACCACGCTGTCAGCAGCTGCAAATACACGGTCAACCGTCTGCAAGTGAACATGCGGCACCATACGCCAGGTCTCGTGATTGAATCCGTCAGTAGTAACAAGGTGAAGTAGTCTACGACGGTTTACCATGATGGTGGCGCAATGAAGGAGACAATGCAACATGGCGTACGTGAATCCACTACCCATCGTAATGTGTAGGTTGATTTGCCTGGTCTTGTTGTCCATAAAGTGTGGTGGTAGCGAATTGCGAACTGCTTCAATACCTGCCTCAAGAGAAGCACAGTCCTCTTCGGAGAAAGTGGCGCTCGTCACGGTGGTGAGCATTTCGACAACGTTACGCCAGGCCTGGGTTGCCATCACGATGTGGCCAAATTCGCCAACCTCGGAAATTGGGGTGGACGGAGTGGGAAGCGCCGGAGGGGGCCCACCGGCGAGGGTACGAACATACACGGGCGTGCCGAAGTTGTAGCTCATGTCAAGGCACGGAAGTGGAACATCCTTGATGTCATGGTGGGACACGGCCGGCTGGCGGCCGGGGCTACTTGTGAGGAAGCAATCCAACACATAGATAAGCCACAGAGTACGCCGAAACGATTCCTCCTTAATGAACTGATCCGGATCGTCTCGGTTCTGATGAACTGCAATTATCCGATACATCTGAGCCATACGAGCGGCTTGGCCAAGGTAAATGTACGCGCGGACTGCATTGCGGTTACCCCATTCGTGGATGATCAGAAGGCAAAGAGCCTGAATATCCGCCAAGCTCGGGTTGTCGAGATTCTGCATGATTATATTGATGGCCTTGACGGCAAAATGCTCGGCCGCAGTCGAAGCACCTCCCTGGCCGCCATAGCGACGAATCAATGCTGGAGAGCTCCTATACGGCAGATAAATGGTTAGGTAAGCCCGGTTGACTTAAATAGATGTAACAAGGTAAGGTATTTTTCATAGGCGATCGGGAAGCTAGGTGGTGGCAAGGATTTGCGGAAAGGGAAAATCATTGGCGGGTTAGGCGAAACGCGAATGCAACTCCGGAGATGAATGAACCATTCGCCCGGAATCCTTTCAGAAGTGGATAAGGCGGGTTCCGGGGAATTATGTTCGATAAACGGGGAGACAGTATGAAAAATGAGAATGTTTGCTTACCGTGCAGCACAAGTCAGAAGACCGTTGACGATGCTGGCCTCGAGGGTGCCATTCTTAAGCTTCTGCAGGAAGGAAGGTTTGTGAAAGGCAACACAAGATGGAATGGTCTTGCTGATTACCCTCTCACATTCCGTCACCAGTTCCGGATTGAGTCTGTGGGGACGGACGAAAATACGTGTTAGTGGATCCGATCAACGCGAACGAAGTTTGGGGGAGGACAAGGGTGTTTGGATTGAAATAGGAGCGCGTGTTGGGGGTTGCAGGGACAAACGGAGTATGGAAGCGGACGAGCAGATGGGCAGGGCAGGATGGGCAGGATTGGGGGCCTAGGGAAGAGACGCTGGAGATGCCGAGGCGAGAAACGAGGCAACCGGCATCCATCCCATTCACAGCCACCCAGAATCAGACTAGTGGTTGAATGTTGGGGGAGTGATTTTGGCCGGCTGCACTCTGCCTTGACCGACGACGCCAGGGAGCACGGATCACCAAGTACCAGAATCTGTTCGGAGCGCGTAGCTGCCGCCAACCTGGGTCAAGACCGAAACACCAGGATGCCCCCGTAATAATGACTAGAGGCCATAAGGGAGTAAGAGGCATCTCGGGGAAGGGAAAAGAGGAGAAGACAAATAAAATAGCAAGAGAAATTAAGATGACGTCGACAGTAAAGACACATAAAAAGATTGAAAATTAAAAATTAAAAATTAAAAATAAAAAAGGAATAAAAGATGACTTACTTCTCGCTATTGGTCTGCATATTGCGCGGCAAAACAGTGCCGGACGCTACAGGCTGGCGGTCGCTGGTTGCCGACACGCTTCGCTCTCCAGGTAGACTCTCACGCGGGCGAGGAGGCCTTGCTGGTGATTGACCATGATGATGAGCCATACTCTCCGAAGGTAGATAACATTCGTGCATCCCCTTGGCACAGTTCCTGCATGGTGCGCGACCATTCTCGTAGACACACTTTGTTTTTCCCTTGCGACAACGCACACAAGCGCCGCCGGCTCTGAGCGACGTGCCGCGGACGACAGACGCCATGATGAGTATTAGACCAAAGATGTATCGCAGGTGAGAGAATAGACGATGATGCTATTCCGGACAATAAGGCGACACTCCGAATGCAGGTCCGGCAGAAGATGATAGAATGATGGAAGAGTTATTTATGTAGACGGAGAAGACGGGAGGCGGTGGATGTTCGGTGCGGGTGGATGGGAAATTTTTTAGTTGTGTAAGTTTCGGTCGGAGTGGAGGGGGGGCTTGTAAGTGGGAAGGGAAAACTAGTAGGTGGAATAGGTAAGGAAGAAGAGAGAAAAGGGAAAAAAAGGAAAATGGAACTTTTTTTTTTCTTGGAAGGATAGAACCTGGGTGATGGCGCTCTGGCGCGAAGCCGCTGGAGAGGGATGTTGCAGGAGACGGGGCAGGACGGGAGGGAGAACAGAAATTAAGACGGACCAGACTCGGGCGTTTGCGCTAAAAATCAGAGCGCGCACCTGAGCCAACCTCGAGCACTGATGATTTCCAGGCGGTCAATTCGGGGGAGGGGTGCAAAGCGCGGCCTAGCCCGGCTCTTTCTTCCTTAGGTATCTCGCACTTCCCTATTTCTGCCCTCTCTCTTTCTTCTTGTGTACTTTATTTCCCTTGTGGGGGGGCCACAACCGGGGATTCGCCCGTGCGGCAAGTGCTCACCAGACGCGTTCGTGAATGACGTTTTATTTTTACTTTATTCAATTTATTTGATAGTCGAGTACTTAAGTATTACACATGCATTAAAATGGAAGAGAAAATAGAAAAGGAAAAAGAATATTCTTTCCTCTGTTAAAAGTCGATCGACCGGAGACAGGCTGATGAAATCCTTAAACTCAAACATGTTTCCCTAGAGGGGGGGCTTTTCGGCTCCACGGCTCCCGGCGCTGGTCGTCTCTTTCGCGTGGGAGTTTACCAATTTGGCTAGGCAATGGTACGGGGCCCTCCCGTACTGTCTATACATACTGTGACAGCGCAATTCGGGAAGGGAGGCGTGAACACGTACTTCGTAATCCGTCCGCGCCCGTACTTTTAACTTTTTTTCTTAACTCGGGCGAAGCTACTCTTTTTTTAATTTAAATTCTTTTGCCTTCCCTTTCTCATGGCAATTGTAATTCGCATATTTTACTTTGTGGGAACGGACTTTCGCGAATTGTATTTGACGGGAAACGAGTGTTCCTTAAATCATATTGGGTAATCTAGTTGGGTGGGTTTGTTCATTTTGCTTGTTTCGTTACCGCTTTCAAAGATAAATCCGAAATAGACATTTCGGCAAGCCGACCGAGCTCCTTGTTTACGTACCCTACTTTTAAACCTCGGGGATGGATGACGGGAGAAAATAGAAAAGTTTAACCTATTACGCCTTGACTAGATACGCACCCAATGTGCGAAAAGGAAAGCAGGGACAAAAAAGGAGCATACGCCTCTTTTACCTCTGTGTAAGGTCCAAGTAACTGAAGACAGCGCTGGTAAAATACTTCATACTGTGAGTGCGGACTCGGGGTCTAGAGCGGCGGGTGCACTGGGGCTTTTTCGGAGTGTCGGTCCCTGTTTTACTGCCTACCAACAAATCTCGCCAGCCTCCTAATCTAAAAGTTACCTCCCGGGGATGCCTTTTTAATCAGGTTGATTGTTTAATGAGCTGATAGTACCCTGTGTTATATTATTATATTATGTTGCCAAACCTTCGTTCGAAAGATGGCATTCGGAATATTTAACTCTAACGTCGTTAAGATTTATTTCGTAACCGTTAAATTTTAAACAAATACCAGGAGATAAGTATATGTTGTAGGTTGGAAAATATACCGCTACTTCCGAAAGGCGTAGTCCTTTTTCCAACCGGTTCGTCTTACCCACCCGGTATACCATAGGGAAATGGTATCGTAAAATATGCTTCGGGGGTTGTTATTCGGCTGACGAAGCTATTGAATCGGTTAGCCGGGGCTGACTCGATGCAACCTCGACCAGGCAACCCAACCCCGCCACGTTGGCTGCTTAAGAATTCCGCCGGCCGTCGTCCTATACGCAGCCCATCATGTCGTGCGTGTTACAGGCCACTGGAAGGGAACACACGGGACGGGAAACCTCCCACTGGTCACGCATTGCTGACCGAGATGGGGCCGCCTCGCCGTTGCCGAAACGTAGAATAGGGGCTTAGATTATGCCTGGTATCAAAAATCTACCATCACAGAGCGAGACTGGATATGACAAAGCTCAAGCTAAAACACATGTAATAGAACCGCCGTAAACATTACGCCAGAGTGTGTATAAGTCTCTTCCCAATAATGATTTCAGCGCCAGCTCTATCCAGTTTATTCTATAAATAATGAAAATGCCAGCCTACGTACACACGCACGTATACATACGTCTAATACTATCTATCCTACGTTCGGGATATCCGGGCGGCGGATAGTCCGAAGCGGAGATGGTTCGATGACTGGGTGACACTCAGCTGCAGTGCCATGTGCGCGCAATCGTGATCATCCCTATCCTATTTGGTTTTCCTCTAATGTCGGCACCGGACTCGTTTGGTGCATTTTCCGTCCGACCTTACATACAGACCTTACAGACAAGTACCCTTTCCATCGCCATACGGATACAGTACGAGATCATGCGACACCCGTTGCGCGTAATCTTTTTGGAGAACTGATGCTAAGATTTTATATCTGCGTCTGCCCCGATGCTTCAGGAAGTGCCAAGTCAAATACATCCGACAATGCCATCTTACAACGCCGTTCCCTACCTATCACTCGCTACTACCGAACCCCCTCGGCCAAATGACCAACTGAAAGCTTAAACATTTCGCCTACTCACTACTTGACCTACTCAACCCTCGGTTCTTCTATTCGTGTTGGCTCACTACACCTAGTAACTAGAAGAGACCTTACGCGCCCAACAGAAAGCAATGTTACAAATGCTAAAACCTCATCATAGCGCATAGAGATTGTATGACGCCCTCGTCCGCCCTCGTCAATTAAAAGCCCGCAATGCTAGGTACGTATACCTATACATACGTACCGATACGTAGGGCCGAAAATCGCAGGCTTCTATGGGAATTCGATAGATTCCTATGGTCGTTTTCCGTCCATTTTCTCCACCCGTACCTTCAATCCTCCCGGAGGCGGTGGAACCGCCGATTTTCCGATAGCTTTTCCTTGGGCGTCATGGCACTCCCAAGTACACAATAGTGGGCCATACTATTGAATCTACACCGGCGCAGGTTCGAATGTCCCACGAATACGCCAATCGCCATCTGCCATCCTAAATATAGACAGTGTGCATATGTGTTCCGGGGATTACCAGTGAAGAAAAGGAGGAAGCTCGTAAGCCCACTCCACCATGCGTGAGAGGTGAGATTCATGTTGTAAGATGGCGACCTCTACCCATACTCAGACCTAGGTCACGTATCGAGTGGATGTTAACTAAGATCATCTATTATTCTAACCTACCTAACTATTGTATGCGGCGACCGAAACTACGTAATGCCGTCAGCTCCGCTATTTGAATATAAGTGTAGCCGGAGCGCATTAGCACAGTTCTTAGTCCGAATGCATATCTCATTAATACATCCCTCTACATAGGTTGTGTTAAGGTAGGTATTATGGTATTACATGTTACTGCCTCCTTTACGGAGGGGTAATCAAGCATTTTCTATATTTTTAAAACTATTAATACATTCAACCATGGTACCGGGTTAGATCGGCTATCCTTGCCCGTCCGCCGGAATATCCAACAAAATGATATTCTGGTATTCGTACCTAGCAGAATTGTGTACCATAGGTATCTAAGATATTTTCATGTACCTATGTAAGTATGATGATGATAGGCTGCATTAGGTGCCCACTTACAATTTAGCCTCCGCGCCTCCTATGATGCTGTAATGTTCTCTCCAAAGTCAGCGACTGGCGTCATATTTTCGGCCGCAACGGATTAAAAGGGGGCGGGCCGGATCCTTTATCCTGAAATTATCTACGCCCCCCCTAGTCAGCCCGTCCATCCGCACGCATTGTACCGCAAGCCGGACTTACTACTGTAATAATTCATTCACGCACAATTTACGGATTAGACGAACAAAAAAAAAAGGGGGGGGGGAAGCCGGGTTTAGGGATTCTTACCGACGTTACGGTCAACCGGATAGACTACCTCGACATCAATATAATGTACAAGAATTTTCGGCCGAGTCTTGTACGTACCCATCATGTACCTAACATGTTAAGTTAAGAGCGCAAGAGCGTTGAGAAACTAATCCCGATCTACACGGAGACCATTGATTTGGGTATGGGTAAAGAGAAATTCAATGTTTGTGCGACAAATCCACTCAAATCTAGGCGGTATCTAGGCGTCCCCGCAGTACATATATGCGCCTTACCGAATGCTGGCTTATTCAGGTACATGTACTTATCTCTTCGACGCGTACGTTACACTTGTAAAGTACCGGTAACAAAACGTCCGCATTCATCCCGGTGATGGGCTGACCGCGCGGAAGGTGCAGCTGATCCGATCTATCCCATTAGGTAAGGTAACTTCTCCATACACTGCATGTACACTACAATGTAGGTAACCTCTTCCACTGTCTGCTGATAGTCACGTGTTACATTCAAACGGACAAAAACGGGGATGAATAAGCCCATTCGCCATGCATCGCCATATGTAGATCGGCATACATTCATTATTATTACACTTGCCGGATAGATGATGCATGGGATTGCTAACTCGGTTGACCTCTTCGGAACAGCTCGATCGTACACGCAACAGGATCTACATTCCTAGTATCTTACTTAGTTAGCTGCCGGCATGTATGAACTCGGGGGATAATATCGTAGATTTCAAAGCATAGCCTTGCCATCCCCTTTCATCCTTCGTTTCGTACATGACCCCAGAGTGAAGATACGTGGGTACCTAAGGTTACAAAGCAACTAAACAATTATACATATACTACAGTGAGGTTTGTAAGTAAGATGAGATATCCTATCTTTTCTAGCCTTTCAAATACCGTCAAACCACGCGGTTGTTTGTTTTTGGGGGGGTTTTTTTTAAAAAGAAAAAGATTATATGCAAGACAATGCACGTCTGTATTTAATATACAACCAGTCGCGATCTTCTATGACTACCAGCCGAGAAAGCGGTTGTTCAGCTAGTGATTTGATTCCGGAAGAGTCCTACATTGGAATCTGGTTGGAGTTTGGCCCCCAATCCGTCCACTAGTGAAGTTTTCGGGGCGTTATAGAATATGCTCCTTATCAGAGTTAACTTCAGTTTAATCTCCTACTCATTAGCTATTACCTTAGTCAAAAACAGCGCCTAGAAAGTGCGGTACTCGCATTAAGCCAATACTCAAATATTGTAGAACACACATTAACTATAAGCTGCTTAAAATGGTAGGTATCGAATCATAAGTATTCGACTAGATTGATTTATTGCGTTCCAATTAATATTTTCTCACATATCCTAAACATATCTATACCGCCGTAGTCAGCATTCGTAAACCCTTAAGGCGCTGTCGTATCCTGGCTTCCTACCTCGTAAGAACTAGGAAGGCCAATGACTGCAAGACCAAAGGCATCTATGGGTTTGGGTTTAAATTTAATTGTATAATTAGCTATATCGTCAGCTAAGATCGATGTCTTGATTATTATAAAGAGGCTACTAGAATACAATAAGGCTACCCCGTAGGATAGCCGCCAGATACTAGCCCTATATAAGAAGGTTATACCTCCCTACTATTTTGGGGGGGCATGGGTTAATAAAGTCACCAATACGCCCTTATACTAGTAGCTAGGCCCTACCTCTCAATCTGTCCTACCAAAATCCTGACGGAAGCATGTGGCGATTGATATATACGATAGGTAATATCCATATCGATGTAGATTGACAATCTCTGATATAAAACGAGATATATGATCAGGTAGAATTAAGATGTTGAAGGACGATGTGGTGAATGTCTACTAATTAGAAAAGCAATCTTTCTTACAGCTACGAGGTATTGTTAGAATTTTCTCTCGTCTTTCACGAGATGGACTATGAAGCTAGGAAACAACTTGGTTGTTCCTCGAGGAACTCTAACCCAAAACTACGGGGGCCTATGCCTATGTATACTGAACATTTCCTTTGTCCTAGATGTCCCATATAGAATCTCGATAGTATCCTTATGCTTGGTCTAACAAGGTTATTATTAGACTATTGATTCTAAAGATTATTACATTATAATAACTAATGTAGGACTGAATAGTTTATGATTGTCGTTTACCATTCTGTTTATATGGGTAGTAGATTGCGTAGAATATGGCGGGGTGGAACTGGAAGGGGTATAGACAGCTTTATTATGTCGTAGCTCTAGAGCCAGCTACGAGGGTCTATAGTTAGTTATATATCTTTTGTTCTGGATGTCCCATATAGAGTCCTAATGTTAACCACTTGTTCTCACTACCCAACTAGAGAATGAATGTCAATATTCAAACCGTCTTGCCCATCCCTATATAGTTGGAAACTTATCGCTTGGTTGAATACGAAATTATATCATACGAGATTTTATTGGTAACGAAGTGGCTTATTTAGACTCATATTGTACCGGGGATTCAATCGAATGGTAAAGCGAATTAAATAGCAGCTGTAGAAAAGCCCGTCCACTAGCATGTGAAACATTCCAAAACAACTGTGCCGGCCACTTAAGCATAAGGGCATACGCTTATGGTACTCTCTTTAGGGTATTACGGAAAGGATATTAGAGGGCCTGTTATCAACCGAGTATTAGTCTTCAGTATAGTTACGAATTTGTTTTATCACTTGAACTACGGCTAATGATATATGCATATACCTCTACTGGTAGGTAGTAATAATAACCAGCCGTAAGCGAGAAGATACGGATATAACAAGCAAATAAAATTCTCGTGCAAGCATCATAATCCCACTTACATAGTGGCGTATCACAGAAATGCAGGCCGGTGGCTGCGACGCTTACAGCCCAATCTGTCAATCCTGTCCCCAAACCTGGCCACTTTGCCGAGCCTGCATGTCTTATTAGCTGAACGGCTACCCCGCGACCCCAGCCTCCCTTCGATCTGCTTATCCTGATCTCATACATTTATGAGCTGTGTAATTGCTGTTGGCGAGGGAGAAGTAGGGAGGGGAAAAGGTGTGTTATACTCAGTTAAACAAATTTATAAGAAAATAATCTCAATCACTGCTTGGTGTCTTAGGTCAATTGACTTACAACTAGTAGGCAATTAAACCTCTTTCTTCTCTTCCAATAACCTAACCTGACTTCCCGGCCTTGCATTCCGCTCACTCGCCTCATCCCAATGGAGTACCAACCAGTGCCGTCGCCATCATACCCAGCACCACCCTCAACCTCGGCTCCGGCACCTCCAGGTCCACCTCCATTGCAGCCAGACCCTAGATTTGAACAGCCGGTATCTACACCTTTCGCCGGGTCGGATTTGCAATCGATAAGGACTGCCTGTGAGTACTCGTTGGGGGAGTACATCTCGCTGCACAAGAGACGACGGTATGACGACCCGGCTAGCGAGCGTCGTCTCCAAGCGCAGCAGAGCATCATAATGAGCGACTTGCAACTGCTGCGGAGCGAGGTATCGGATTTAGCTAAGGCGGCCGAGGCGCATAGATGGCGACGATGGCTTTTGGGTGGCCTAGTGTAAGTTTTTGGCATACGGGAAATTGCATTATGGAATCTCTTCCCCTCCCCTGTTTATTACACCCCTCTCGCGACATCACACACAAATCAGCCGTCTATTTCCATGGTTTCTTATACGCGCACAGGGCGTCTTTCATCCCCGCTATCCGGAAGGTTTTCCGCCGTTCGTCGAAAGACAAGGAGTCTAACGACACCGAATATGCCTTCAAGAGAAGTAAGGGACTCATTTCTCGCATCTTGGATTCCGTTCATGGCAAGGGCAAGTTTGCCTCGATAGCCTTCTTTGTATTGGCTATCCTGTACGTATTTCAGAGCGAGGTGTCGATGCGCGTAGCAAGAACGGTATCCAAACGCTTGAAGCGGCTCATGGCCAAGATCGAGAGGGGAGATCAGGGTCTTGGGGAAGACGACATGAAACTCCTCAAGGGCTGGCGTTGGCGGGTGCTACTATGGTAGTAGCTTGATAATAGGGGTTGAGCTTCGTCGAGTCTTTCCATGCTGTACTTGTACCTCTTGTATCTAGATATAAACACGCCCGCTGTTAAATCATACTCACATAAATACACCAGTGAGTGCTATTATATTTAACCCTAAGCATATGGAGAAATACCGGTACCAAGTCTTACAGTGTAGCTGAAATCAATCCGTAGTAGGGGAGGTTCTATTCAAAGAATATACACATGCACGGATACGTTACTTGGCTATTGCATCGGGCTATATTGTTAAGTTTCCATTTGGGTATCTAAACGACCTAATACACAGCCCCGAGAAACATAATGCTACCTAGTACACGCCATTGCGGTCGCCATCGTTGCTAATGAAGTTTCCCAGTTGCAGCTGGGTCATATCTTCTCTCGCGCTTGCGACATCGCTAGCCACCTTCAGAATACCCTGCTGTAACTCTCTAAGCACAGCGCTAAGCTCTTGGGCCTTCTCGTTAGGACCAGATGACGCCCCATTCTTGTTAGCCATCATCTTCTGCAACTGCTCCACTAGGTTGTCGGAAACGCTGTGCATATGCATCTCAATCTCAGTCATGTTCCGGTCATATTTCTTTACTTGATCTTCCATATCATCAGCCGCCTTAGAGAAAAAGCTGACCAGGTCTTGTCCGTCCGCCTCCGTATTTGCTGTGCCTGCTGACTGTTGCCTGGGCGACCATATCCCGGCCGTGTGATACTGTTCGGGTAGCTTCAAGTTATCGATAGCTCGGAAACTTAACCGGGCGTGTTCTACATCCTGGGCGACTAAGCCGCGGGATGCCTCGATAGCCTGAGCAGCCGATGCTAGCGCACTATGCGCACTCTCGTACTTCTTAGCGACGAAACTGACGTCGTTGGGGATGCTCTCGAGCATTTCCTTATGGCCGGGCATAAATGAATCTACCTCGTCCTTGTATTTCATTTGTGTCTGGATTAACATGTCGACAGCCTCTATCTTCTTCTGTAGGTCCTCTTGGAGGTCGTTAAACCGCGTAGTACCCTTAAGGTTGCTTACGTCGATACGCACACCGGGAACTGTCTGTTGATTTGACGATTGGCCCATGGTTAAGCCAAGGCCGAGCGAGCTACCTAGGCCCAAGCCAGGTTGCTGCTGCGGTTGGGATTGAGCTGGTTGGCTGAGAGTACTCCCACTGCGGATCGAGTTAGCAGGACGGTTATAGGGGAACTGGGTTGGTTCAACTTACAATGAGCTGGATTTCTGCTGCGCTGGAACTGCCTGGCCAAATAAAGATGATCCCACATTGCTCGCCGCTGGTTGTGTAGGGTTTAAAGAACTGCCGAAGAGGGATCCAGAAGTCCCAGTTCCCGTAGATGTCGGCTGAGCGGTCGTGCTACCGCCAAACAGCCCGCTGGCGGGTTGGGTCTGGGTCTGGGTCTGGGTTTGCGTTTGCGGTTGGGTCTGAGTAGTCTGCGAGCTCCCGAAAAGCCCCCCTCCCTGCTGTGGTTGGGTTGTAGTAGTATTCGCTGCTCCGAATAGACCGGCGCCTCCCTGTGACGGCTGGGATGGAGTGGCAGAAGATGATGAAAAGAGACCGCCGGATTGGGGCTGGGTGGTAGCGGTGGAAGAAGTCGTAGTGTTACCGAATAAAGATGGCTTAGGTGTAGTTGATGTACTGCCGAAAAGGCCTCCGGGAGCGGGAGGCTGGCTACTGTTCGATCCACTTTGTTTGGCGCCGGATGTCAGCTGTAGGACCCAGGCAGGAGCAGGCATTGCAGTAGATTCGTTTCGTTTCGTTACGTTACGTGAGGGTTGGAGAGGGGCGTAGGAGAATAGATGCTAGACTCACAATAAGTTTGCGGACGACGTGTTGATAGACAGGCCGCCAGGGCCACTGGCTGATCTAGATAGGGCCATGATTCCCTGGGTGTGGAATGCTATATTATTTTTATTTTTTTCCTTTTTTTTTGGGTTTTAACTGTGTACCTAAGTTAGTACATAATTGATACTTGTGTTTTCTGTTTGCTTGTCCGAGACATACCTTAGCTCACATGCCCAACAAAGGGAACTTGTGGATGTTAAGTAGAGGAATGAACGTAAGGTGGGTAAAGATGCGGTATGTAGGTTGTATTGATTGATTGATGTATTGATGTAAATTTTTAGAATACCTAGAGCTGCAGGTGCAGTCGCGTTGCCAGCCAGCTAGCGCGCCTATGTCACCCCGGGTGGTACATGATTTGCTAGGATTTATACTCCGGATTACATGTACTGAGCTATGTACATATGTAAGTAGCCTGGCCATAGCTCCGTTGCAGCCGCAATCGCCCCACGCACTTCCTTGTCTTCCTTAGCTCAAGACAAACCAATCTGCCAATTGAAATCCAATTGAACCTGAACTCATCCACCTACAGTGACTTACATCTAAACCCTTACATCCAAATCTTCAAATCTTCACTTCTCCTGAACATTGGCATCCATACAACTTTCTAGAATCGAGATTTTAGCCTCTTGCCTAATACGACCTTTATACGTCTATAAGAATAATGGATATCGACGACGACGATGATTTCTATGCTCCCGACGAGCCCACCACTCAAAATGACCAGTCCAACATTACCGATTCTCATACTGCAGCTACATCTACCCAGCCCCAGCCGCCACAACAGCAACAGCAACAGCAGCAACAACAACAGCAGCAACAAGATGAGGAGGATTTAGAGGAAGGAGAAGAAGAAGATGAAGGCGCTGATATGGACGAGGATGACTCGGATATAGATATAATCACGGAACGGAAAGATGGCACAAATGCGCCACCACCTACGTTAGCACTACCTAGCTTTCCCTTCGTCTATATTTACTCACGTATTCCATAGTCAATCGCGATATAGCGACATACGGAACATACCTCAAAGATCAGCGTCAAGCGATACGAGCAAGCCTGCTGCCGTTAAGAAGGAAGACGTACCAACGCGGTCCACTTCGGGCCATGACTTACCCGCAGTTTCCACATCCAAGGTTAATGTAAATGCGATACCTGTGTACAAACCAGTAGGAAAGCCTATCACCCAGATCAACATTGATGAAGGTTCGTGTTCGTCGCATATCGCCGCCTCCCAATTCGCCGATTACTGCTAACACGGGCATTCAAGATCTGCCAGAGAATGACAAGCCTTGGAGGAAACCTGGTACGGACCTAAGCGACTATTTCAACTACGGCTTCGACGAATTCACCTGGGCTTTATATGCTGCCAAGCAAGATAATGTCCGCAGTGAGTACAGCTCGGACGCTATTGCTCAGAATAACAAGAAGATGCTCGAAGACATGCAGATGATGATGATGGGCGGTATGCCTGGGATGAGCAGCGCAGGCGCAGGTGCCGGTATGGCAAACATGCCTGGGATGGATGGAATTCCTCCTGAGATGCAAGCCATGATGCAGCAGATGATGGCCTCTGGTCTTGACCCGAGCCAAATGGATGCATCTGCTATGTCTGCCATGTTCTCAGGTATGCAGAATGCCGGGGCCAGCGCTGCTGGAGGGCAGGGCAACCAGAACCAGAATTTCGGGGGGCCCGGCCAAGGATTTGGCGGTGCTCAAGGTCAAAATTTTGGGTATGAACAGGGCATGGGCCGCGGTGGGGGCACCGGCGGGTTTGGCGGGCGTGGTCGTGGCGGCGGGCGTAGGAATTGGTAAAGCCGGCCAAGTTTCCTCCTGTATAATTATATTACTGGATAGCTTTCGGTGAACGCTATCGAATGATTACCAGGCTGTGAGGTGAGAGCCTAGATAGGCGCGGGGTTTCGCGTCGTATTAGGTAGTCATACCAATCACGATACCCATAACATTCAGATTACACCCGGTTTGCTACGCTTCACTTTGCTTATTTCATCGCTTAACTAGTACAAAATGTGCATAGCTAATGAACATGACTAACCCAGCTGTCTAACTACACCTTAAACACAGCCAGACGACGAATAATAGACGATAGCAGTGTCGGCGCAATGGAAACGACTCGCGTGGGATATACTACTATCGCCAATACACTAGCTAAGAACGAATATAAATCGTAGTTACGATTCCAACGCCAAAGAGGAGTAACAGGAATCCGGTCCGAGAAGTCGTCAAAAGTCTTCCGGTGCCGGATAATATATTTCCTAACAATCAACCAATCAGCCGCCGCCTCTCAGCACGTTTTATACAGCATGTGCCATCCTCCCCTGACCCGAGATCTGCAGGTCTAGAATTCAATGTCCCGGGAAGAGTGGAGTTTTTGGCTTCTCGGCCTATTGTTGCGCCTCGTGAGTCTAGGTGACGATGAGGAAGCCGTATACACTGGTAGAACTTCGCTTGTATGAAACACGGCGCTCTGCCGGGCAAGCCACGCCATATGTACGAGATGCCTCCGGTCTACGTTCGACTTTGCCTTTCCCACTTTGGCGGCTTGGGTATGGCCAGTGAACAAGCGCACGTGGGTACCTGATTGCACAATCTAGGAGCGGGACACATTATACAATTATCTTATCCATGTCACTTCGGGAATATATTTTACTAAGACTACGCGGGGGACGTTACGGTTATACAAGTAGAGTCTCGTGATGGGCGTCGACCGCGCGACACGCCGAATAGAAACCAGCATCTGGAACCCGTTCCTAGTCCAAGTGTTTGGCAATGGTATTTACATGCGGTTGCCTGTTGGTTGCATCGCATCTTATTCCCTTTCCTCCGCATCCTCCGGTTTGACCTTATGTGAAATATACATTCCTTGAGCCGCTGTATTATATTTAGACGGCCGATGCCCCGCGATTGAGAATTTGTTTATTGGGCTCGTTGGAGCCGGCATAGATACGCGGTCTGTTGGGGGTTTGATGGAATAACCGCCATAATGGAACTCTCCAAGGTCGCCATCATCGCCGCACCAACCAAGGAGCCCCGAGCAGTGACCAACCCGAGTTCTAGCGTAGTCGCAATATTCGTACCCACTCTAGTGGTCATTCTCCGATGCCAGCGAGTTCTTGCTGCAGCCTCCCTGTCTCTTCATATCAAAGTCAGCTGGCTCGCCCGGCATCTCTCCCAGGTACTTCGAATTTTCGCCAGTCAAATATATTCGGCTTCAAAGCTTTTTCGATACCACACGGCGATCCTAGGAAGAACGATATGGAAGACGAAGCCTATCCAGCGTCTGAGGAAGAAGATTGTTTTCGAGTTCTTCACGTTGATGCTTGGCTCTTGTGGCAACTTACTTTGTCTACTTCTATTCTGGCCCGGATGGTGGTTGCTAGGAATAGCCTGGCTGGTCGTTCGCTGGTTAACTGGCTAATCATTTTCGTTTCGTAAGTAGATTCCAGTAATTAACCGCAACCCAGCCCACCTAACAAGCGATATTAAACAGACCGATAAATATATTTCGGCCTTAACCCATAGCACCGCGTAGACAGAAGTGGGGTCAGGTCACCAGTCAGTTAACAAAGCTTACGCGGTATTCAGGAATAAAAGAAGGCATTTCCACCGAGGTCGCGCCTTACTTCCTTCTGATAGTCCTTCTCCGGGTCGAACTCTTGCCAAACGCTGGCGGGATAGATGTGTTTATTCCGCTCATACCATCTCCGGTCGACAACCTTAGTGAAGGTTGGGTCATCCAAAGCCCCCTCCAGACTGTTTACGGCCGGTTGCGTGCTGGCCGATTTAACGGCTTGCTCATCTACGGAACGCTTAGGAAGTGTTGACTCCGAGACTTCGGACACGTAGTCAAAGAGGAGCTTGCCAGTGGGACCAGCAGTTTTATTCATGATGAAGAAGAGGAAGTCGTAGTGCTACATATTAGTTAGCGGTCTGTACCGTCTAAATAGTTGTATTCCAGGGATATCATGTTAAAAATAATAATGATAATAGAAAAACTTACGTGGGGGACAATAATGTTCCCTCGAACCATCATTAGATCGTCAACTCCGACACGTGCCCATTCTCTCCTGGCATTGGCCTTTTCACCAACGCCGAGGTCAGCGCCAACCTTTCTACTCTTATCCAAGAATACCCATATGAAGTCACCCTTCTTGACGCGTACAACGCCTCCGGGGATATCCGTCCCATCGTAGAACACAAAGGGTATCGCAATCTCGGTCAGTTTCACAGCCTCCTGTCGCATTAAAAACTCTCGCCTTAAGGTTTCTCTTTCGGCCGCTTCACGACGGAGAGCAGCTTTAGTTACAGCGCGCGGAACAACAGATACGGATGAGTTGGCCTTGAATTTGAGTTTCTTCTCTCCGGACTCTTCCCCATCTTTAGGCTCGTCTCCTCCTTGGCCACTATTCTCATCGCCTTCATTCTCGTCATCGTCATCGGCAAATGAGAGCTTAGCACCACGTCCTTTGGCGACCTTCTTCTCCTTCTTCTTTTTCTTACGGGGATTCGAGACGTCGGTGTTGTCGTCTGGGGTACCTGTGCGCGAACGTTCAGGTGTATCTAGAGGTGTACCGGTAGCGATAGCATCTCGCGCCTCGCGCTCCTGCTGCTCGATGACTTCGGCGCGTCGTTTGCGGAAGTCGGACAGAGCGACTAAGCCAACGGTATGGGTCGACAGACGCTGCTGTGTGGTTTTATTCTGGGATGTGAAACGAGAGGTCATGATGCAAAATTTGCAGAAGATACAAAAGTTGCAAAAGTTGGAAATAAGAAAGTTGATGCTTTGATGCTACATATGTACATGTTATCTTAGATACCTAGGTACATACGGTAATATCGATTGTCTGCCCCACCATCAATTCGCAAGAACCACATGTACCAAAGCTACAATGTGTACATAGCAGTCCGGACCCGCTCCTCGCTCCTCGTAGACATAGTTACTTCCCTAAGTACCCGTGTACACGTACACCAAAAGTGGGGGATAACCCCTTTCACTAATAGCGACTATAACCTTTTTATATCAACTACCTTCGAAGCAGAGAATGTGCGATAGTTCGTGCGGGATATTTAACAGCCGTATTGATTGCTATGGTAAGCCTTTGTAAAAATATAAAGTATGAAATAAAAATATAGGATATAAAATATAAAATATAAAATAAAATAAACTTACCAGTAAGGGGCAACAGCGCAACGTACCATCAAGTCTTATATATTTAATTAGTACTGCCACAATTTTTTCAACCAATCAGATGCTTAGAATCGCCCCGCAGTTTGCGACTTTTCCTTTTGCCATTCTATCGCATAACGTCTGCAAGAGGTGCAAATGGTATAGAAAGGTCATGCAAAACGAGCTCTATTTAACGATACCAATTATTAAAACTTTTATACGCTCTTGGAATAGGTCAATTGATTCTACAAAAAATTCATCGGACGTGCACTGAGGTGTGGCTAGCCAATCAGAGGCCAGACTTTAGCTGTGGCGTCAGTTTTGCCCATCAGGTGATCCCCCCCTTCTCCCCCGTCCGCGGTTGCGCGGACGGGCAACGCCGCTAGTATCAGAGATCACTAAAGAGTGCGGGTATTGTATGAGTATTGTAATAGTATATTATATGATTAGGAGAGTAAGTTCGAGCCAGCTATCTAATAACTGTATAATATATACCTCCTGTTGAAGATAAATGTAAGGCTATTTATTATCTTAGGTAGTTCCCTTAGCCTTGCCATTCATTTCCTTGCCTGTTAGATCACCCCACCAGCAAGATTCTTAGGACAAAACCTCTAGCTATATCAGTAGTCCAGTCCTCGCTTATTTCAAAGTTCTTCGTGTCCCATCAAGGATGTATCCTCGCCTTTTGCCCCCATCCTCACAGTGCCGAGGCCATCTGGAAGGTCAGGACACAGAGCTGCCGAAGGGGTTGGTGATACTATTACGCCATTGTCTATGCTAGCACTCCCGTCCTTTATGGCCTGGATCTGATTGTCCGCACATGTGGCGCCCATCCCTCTCAAGTAGCATGTGACCGAAGGAACTGGAGGCGCTTCAAGGGCAACGGTCGAGTTCGGAGAGCCACTCGTCGAGTAGTCCTCAGTTACGATGATACGACCTGTAGCGAGGTCCTTACGCTGCATGGCTCGGCTCATAATTGCGTAGGCCACTTCCGGTTGATATGCTGGGACCATATGGCCAGACTGGTAGACACGGGTGAAAGAGAACAAGTTATGTTGACGTACTTGTCCTACCGGCGTGGAACCGGGTATAACCACGTCGGCGTACCCAGAATTCTTGAATTTATCGCTCTGCCCGTAGCTTACATTAAGGCTAACGCGTTCGCCGCCGATCCAGTTACAAGCGAAATCTCGATCGCCATTCAGTATAGCTACTTGTATACCTGAGTCTAGGAGCGTACCGATATCTTCGAGGTAGCCGTTTGGATCCCTCCTCGAGTAGTCTCCTGTGGTGTTGAATGCCTTTCCGACGATATTCGATATGTCAGTGTAGTTGACGGGTACACCTAGCTTGCTGCGTATATCATCGTTGGCAAGATAGTCCAAATATTCATTTCCGGGGAACGCGTCCAGATAGCAATGTGCAATGTCATAAAATGCCGACCTCTTGCGATACAAATAAGGGCCCTCTACATTATTTTGACAGAAATCGCTCGCATCCTCGCATGGTTTGTTGACTCTAGCATCGTTGCCATACATGTCCGGGTCCCAAAGTTTCGCGAATCGAAGACAGTCTTTGATTTGGTCTTGGCAACCTCCTGGTCGCCGATAATATGCGCCAGACGCATTCTTATATTCCTCGTCGGTAATACCGGAAATATTATAAGGATTCGCGTCATGGGCAAATTCTAGGCCAGCCGTTTCTTGAACGAGCAGATCAATGCATCCATTTACAATGCCAAGTGTCGTGAGGTTCAGAATCTCGGCCTCGGCCAAAGAGCCGCTCTGAATCCGCTGATTTTGTTCGTGGATGAAGGCAGAGAAGCTTGGCCCGTACCGTCCACCGTAGGATTCCGTCCAGATACTAATCGAGCTGTCGTTGGTGTCGTGCTCAGTGAACTCTTTTTTCCACCGCTGAAGAAAATTCCAAAAATGTATAGCCGCGATTTCAGTAGTATTTGCAGTCGACTTGACATTTTGACTACTGAATTTACCCGGGATAAAAGTATTGTTTCCAGTATCATTGGAGGCCGAAGGAACTATGTTGCCAGTCTCTAGATCAAGGAGACCACTGGTAGGAACATCATAACTGAAGCCCGTTTGGACCGGCTGATCGACATAGAGTACATTATAGTATCGGTTCCAAGACCAGGGGTTTGATTCCGGCGCAAGTTCACGATTGATACGACAAGGACCGTTCTCTGTGAAAAGGCCATACAGGGATGAAGCGCCCGGTCCTCCATTCATCCATATAATCAGGGGAGAATTTTGGGGCTCATTCTGGGACTTGAAGTACCAGAAGAATGTATTGATAGGATAGTCGTGTGAAATTCCCTCCATAGAGTTAGGCTCAAATTTTATGTAGTCGGCGTATGAGGCAGCATCACCACATATTCCTGCCTAGTAGAAGAAAACCAGGTTTTCAGCATACTATCTTAAGAAAGTTGGAATATAATGGAATAGTGGCATTCCATTTGCTTATGACAGTAACATACTGGGACTTTGTTCCAGGAAACTGGATCATCGAACCCGGTGAAGGCATTCGCGTTATGCTGCGCTCCGGCAAATAAGCTAAGGTAGAGGGCAATACTAGTCCATAAATACATGTTTTAGTATAGTTGGATGTAGAAGAGAGTTTAGTTAGGTGTATTAGTCTCTCCGGGCTTGATATTTATAACCCAAATATTCACCTTATCTCAAGAGACGCTCTTTAAATCCATCAAGACAGGCGAACAAGCAACCGAAGTCCCATTATCTTACCCGATTGTTTCTGACCGGTTATTTCTAGGAGACTTGTCTATTTCCCCCTACTTTGACGCATTACATGTCAGTGGCTAACTATATTGTGGAGTTACGGGGAAATAGATAGATTATCAAGGCGTTGTCTCTAGTTCAGGCAGTAAGACATACCCGTCCGCGTTTTTACTTCTTGTTCGCTAATGCAAGCGATCATGTCTAATTTGGCCTCGCATGGCCTCGTACGTATATGGCATATAACTTTTCGCCGATCTGGATTCATATAGTCCTCTCATTTCATCCAAGACTTAGGTAGGTTGATCTCGATTTGCTCCATGGTATTGAAGAGGCTAACTGAAGCGACACAAGTTCGCCCATGAGTGTCCACACTACCATGCAGTAAGCCGTTTGCGAAGGCATCGTGACTAACAACATATTTCATTCACTCACGTCAGAGCTTACGCGGGTATCAGCTTCCCCTCATCGCCGAACTGACATTGCAGTTTTGTACCACCGCGGATCGCTCCACGCCACAATTGGGCGTCGCGGGGATACGGGAATCGAACAGCACTACGATATGTACGCACATAATATTGGTAGCACAGGAGCTGTTATTGCCAAACGACATTATTGTGGGAAGCTGGATCTAAAAGATCCATGGTGGATAGAAAAGCGATCTGTTAGAGACGCTAAATGAACAGATATCGAACAACCAATCCACTGACAGTTCTTTGCCGTGACGTGAGGCGCATTATGGAGGAAATTAACTATCCAGACACAGCATAAAATTTTTTGGAGTATTTCAGCTGTAATCGGGCTAGAGATCATAGGCGAAAAGGGTCAAAGTTTGGTTAAACGGGTGGGTTCGGGTATATGAAGATGGATTACATTCAAAATAGTGTTAACTACTTGATACTAAAAGATCTAGACGCCTCGGTTGAGTGATTGTAGCTATCGTATATTATTAACGTTAATGTCTTACACTACCTATCACATAGGTACATCGATTAGAGCAAGAGACATTTCGGGATATACGCTATAGGAATGAAATTAACTTGTTGATAGCTATATGCATCGTCAGCAAGACCTTCATCGTCGATCATATAATACATATGCAACCTTTCACATGCCCGACTCCGCCAACGTCAACGCACTGAATTCATCTATGCAAGCCATACAACAACGCATACCAAACCTGTTTTTCCCGGTCTCCTTCAGCTTCCAACGTCTCATTCTTGGCGTTATGATTGCGTATTGTCCGTATTGGATAGTGTATGATACCGTGTGCGAACGGAGGGATGACCAGTATAGGGAGGCAAGTTCGGTAAGATCGCTGGATATAAGTGTGAGCCTGTACCTACGCACTTCAGAAAATGGGAGCCTCGGACAAGTTTGCAGTATACACTACTGGTCTCTAAGAATAATTCACCATTATCTATTCGACTAGATCGTCAGATATATAACTTCTGTTCTTTAACGATTCAACTGCTACTCAACCATGGCGGCTACAATTCCAACTAAGAAGAACGTTCCGACTACACAGAGCATTGGCAGCGTTGGCGGCTGGTTGCCCCCCAACTCCAATGTTATGCTTGACTGGGTCAGAAAACTTGTCAAGAAAATAGACGAGCGGAAAGCCAAAGCGCCCAGGCTCATTGGGCCCAATGATTCACCTTATGCTCCGGTTGTCAAGGAGCTCCAGGACTTAATTGAAAGCACTACGGAGCTTCGAATGCTGGCCTCAGCTATGTTTGATGAGGTTCCCAATAAACCTCCTTATGATGAGGACCCGATGGGGACTAAGCAGATTCAAGATTATCCACAGATGCTTGAAGTGATGACCGAAATCATAACCAGCGTTGCTCCAGAATGGAATCAGACTGGATACGAAGTTGGCTTGATTGGCTTCCCGTTCAACGCCATCCTAGATTGGCCCATGGGTACCCCTAGTGGGTATGCATTCTTCCTCAAACCAAATGTGAACAATAAGTTCAAGAATATCCTTAACAGATGGAAGAAGGATATCCTTGAGACAGAAATTTCTAGGGATTTGGTTCTCACTAAGGAGCCCAATGGGTGGTTCTGTGAAGAGGCACTGAAGCAGCTTACGGACGATAGCAACCCCACGACTGTGAAGCGTAAGCCATTCGATGAACTCTTTGAATGCGACCCGAATGACCCTCACTACGGATTTGCTTCATGGGATGCCTTCTTCACCAGACGCTTCAGAAATATTGATGAGGATCGACCTGTTGGGGAAGAGAATGATGGAAATTGGGTGGTGGCCTCGTGCGAGTCTAAACCGTTCTCTCTACAGAAAAACGTTAAAAAGCTCGACAGCTTTTGGTTGAAAGGACAACCGTACTCGGTGGCTGACATGGTGGGGCCAAACGTCTCAGAGGATACTGTGAACAGCTTCGTCGGCGGTACCGTCTATCAGGCCTTCCTTAGTGCTACCTCCTACCATCGCTGGCACTCGCCGGTGAAAGGAAAGGTCGTATATGCTAAAGTCATCGATGGGACATTATTCTCTGAGCAGCCGATTAATGGTTTCTATAATCCCGATGACGATCCAAACCACAAGCCCGACCCTGCCGGACCGGACCGGTCCCAAGGTTACATTTCTCACATTGCAACACGTGCCGTGTACCTCATTGACACAGAAGGTCCTGCCGGGTTGGTGGGTGCTATCTACATAGGCATGGCTGACGTATCCACCTGTGAGATCGACTATAAATTCCACAGAGTTGACGAACAGGTTGAAAGCAAGAAAGGAATTGAAGTAGAGAAAGGAGAAGAACTTGGGATGTTTCATCACGGTGGTTCCACCCATTGCCTTCTCTTCCAAAAAGACATTGATCTAACATTTGTATTTGAACCATTCCCTCAAGAGACACAAGAGAACATGCCACTTCGGAGCAAGTTGGCTAAAGTTGGGCAGTGAATATTACAAGGAGGTTAACGAAAAAAAAGAAGAGACTGCCCGGACGTTGGTTGCCACATATATGGCAGGCGCAGACTGCCATGTAAATTAGTAAACTTAGTTTAGTTTAACTTTATTAAAAGTCATTTAATGGATGTTTCGTTTACCTTATTTTAAGTGACTTTAAATTTAATTGCTTTAAGTTTACGAAAGGTTATTATATTATTGTTTTTTTTTATATAATCGAAACTTTTTTTTTAATTAAATTAAATAAAAAAATAAAATTATTAAAAATAAAAATGTTTTAATTATTTTTACTTTAATAAATTAAATGTATTTTAAAATAAATAAGTTTTAATTAAAATTTTAATAAAAGTTATTTATATAATAAAAATTAAATTAATTATAATTATATAATTTATTATAATTACGTAATTAATTATTAAGTTTTTAATTTAACGTTATTACGGTTAATTATAATAAAATTAATAAAAAATTAATAAAAAATTAATAAAATTTAATTTATTTATAAAATAAATAATAACGTTACGTTTTTATTTACGTAATAATATATAAAAAAAAATGTAAAATTAAAAATTCGAATTATAAATTTAATTTTAAAATTATATATAATTAAAAAAGTTATATATAATTAAAAAAAATTATATAAAATTAAAAAAAATTATATATAATTAAAAAAAATTATATAATTAAAAAAAGTTATATAATTAAAAAAAGTTATATATAATTAAAAAAAATTATATATAATTAAAAAATTTATTATTTAATTTATATAATTATTTATTAAATTACGCGGGGGTTATAAATGTAAAATACGTGTAAAATATATGTTAAATGTTTATAATTTTTTACGCGGTAAAATTAAACGATTATTTAAAATTAAATTAATTAAATTAATTATTTAATTTATTTATAAATTTAAAGTTATTATATAAATTAACGGGGTTATTTTTTATTATTTTAAATTTATAATAAAATAATATATTACATTTTTTTATAAAAATTTAATTTATTTTTTTTTTAATTAAATTAAATAAAAAAATAAAAATTATTAAAAATAAAAATGTTTTTATTAATTTTATATATATTTATTAAATGTATTTTATAATAAAATAAATAAAATAATTACGGTTATATAATTTATTATAATTTTTAATTTAATATTATTATAATTTTCGATTATAATAATGTTAATAAAAAATTAACGAAACGGTTTAATAAAATTAAACCGTAAAATTTAATTCGTTTATAAAATAAATAAAAACGCGGCGTGTTTTTATTTACGTAATAATATGTAAAAAAAACCGAATATAAAATCGAAAGTTTAAACCGTAAATTTAATTTTAAAATATAATATAATTAAAAAAAATTATATATAATTATTTATTAAATCGCGTTAAAAAAGTTATAATTATAAAACGCGTATAAAATACGTGTTAAACGTTTATAACTTTTAATATAATAAAGTTAAATAGTTTTATAAAATTTAATTAATTATTTAATTTAATCATAAATTTAAAATTATTATATAATTTAATAAAATTATTTTTTATTTAAAAAATAAATTTTATTTTATTTTAATATTAAAATTTAAATTTTAAAAATAAATTTTAATTTATTTTAAATAATTTTAAATTAAACTTTTTAATATTTAATTTAAAAAAATATATAAATTTTTAATTTAAAATAATTTTAAATATATATTTATTAAAAATTTAATTTATAAAAAATAATATTAATATTATTTAATTTATAAATAATTAATAAAAAATCTTTAATTTTTATAAAATTAAAAATTTATTTTATATAAGTAAATTAAATAAAATATTATAAATAAATTAAATATAATAATTTAATTTATTTTTATAATTAATAAAATTATTAAAAAAATAATAACGTTAATATATTTTAAATAAAAAATTTTATTTATATTATTAATATAAATATATATATATAAATTTATAAATATATATATATATATATATATTATTTATTTATTTATTTATTTATTTAAAGTAACATTAATTGCGTAATGTGCTATTTATTAAGTGCGTAATATACGAGGTATAATTTTAAATAACTTTAAATTAATTTTTAAATCTTTTTTAACGTTTACTTTAATAACTTTATAAATTTTAATTTAATCTTTATATAATTCACATTATAATTTAAATAAGAAAATAATAAAAATTATAATTTAAAATACACGTGATTCGGACCAAAATTAACCCGGATGCGGTTAAAAATATGAATTTCGACTATAATAACTATTTTAAAGCTCTTTTTAATAACTTTTATCCCTTGTAATTTTAACACTTTTCATCTTTAATAACTTTACTAATATAACCCGGATAAATTCCAAAAAAATCTTAGTATTTATATAACTAATTATACAATATTATAAAACAAACCCCATATTTTTACCTATTTATTTCGTAAAAATATGGTTATATTTATAAAATACGCTATTAAAAACTAATAAAAACCATTAAAAATATCATTTTATATATATAAATAAAGATATCTTTAATATCTTTATTAATCTTAGGCCGAATTACGTATAACTTAAATTGGAATTTTCGTTATTTTCTTATTTAAATTACGGTATAATTTATATAAGTTTTAAAATAATATTTATAAAATTATTAAAGTATATATTAAAAAAAAAATAAATAATCTTTAAATACGTATCGTTTTATACCTTATATATTACGCATTTAATAATAAATATACTATGTAATTAATATTATTTTTTATTTATTTATTTATTTATTTATTTATTTATTTATTTATTTATTTATTTATTTATTTATTTATTTATTTATTTATTTATTTATTTATTTATTT